CTGGGGAGGAGGTATGAGCTTTCAACGTCCTCTTGAAGATTATTGTTGGTTAATCTAAAACCGTTTGAAAAGGAGTTAGGACTACGAGTTTGGAAACAATTATTTGATATTTTAGGACGATTGGTGCAAGGACAACATCCCTGCATTACCGCAGCGTTGTTGCCAGGTACATTTCTATTTATTAGGTTGTTACATAAGTCTTGTTACACTTAACTTCTAACGGCGATAAGTCATACATCTCATAGTCTTTGCAGGACTCCAAGGTACCATTCGATAGAGCAAAGCAAGCTCTACAAGATGGTCTGCAAAAGTTCGCACCAGCTCCGACCCACCATAAGTTTGCACCCAAAATCTGAGTCGTACTGAAATTCAAAAAATCGCGAAAAATTCGTATCTTTGTTCAAACAAATCCTACGGATCTCCAACTTGCTCATAAAAATTGTCCACTATATAAAACACTCATATGTACCATTGCTGTATTTTTTCCTTATCTGGAAATCGAGATAAAAAATTTTTTTAGTTTTTACAAAAATGAAGATATGCTGTTTCTATTCATGTAGCTGTATACTACAAGCTCTTAGAAGTATAACCGAAAATTTTTAGCTTTTCAGAAGCTCTGGTTTTTGAAAAATACCAAATTTAGTTTTTATCACTCGGGTGTTCAATGCTAAATTAGGTAATTTTCGAAAACTAGGGCTTCTGGGAAGCTGAAAATTTACGGTCATACTTCTAAGAGCTTGTAGTATACAGCTACATGAATATAAACAGCATAGCTTCGTTTTTGTAAAAACTAAAAAAAATTATTTTTCTCGATTTCTAGATAAGGAAAAAATACAGCAATGGTACATATGAGTGTTTTATATAGTGGACAATTTTTATGAGCAAGTTGGAGATCCGTAGGATTTGTTTGAACAAAGATATGAATTTTTCGCGATTTTTTGAATTTCAGTACGACTCAGATTTTGGGTGCAAACTTATGGTGGGTCGGAGCTGGTGCGAACTTTTGCAGACCATCTTGTAGAGCTTGCTTTGCTCTACCGAATGGCACCTTGGAGTCCTGCAAAGACTATGAGATGTATGACTTATCGCCGTTTGAAGTTAAGTGTAACAAGACTTATGTAACAACCTAATACAATGATTTTATCTTGCCAGTCTTTTAAGGCTAATTGTAATTTCAAGGGCAACGTATTGCAAATTATTTGAAGCTTGACGTCTTGTGTATTACTTTTATTAGAATGAAAAGAGATTCTGAAGATTCTAACATCCTCGTTTTTTGAACGTGTCTTCATGCTTGCAATGAAGGGATGTGATGACTTACATGATACTTAAACTGTAAAGCAAGTATTATTCTGACTAACGCATAATATCATTTGCAGCGTAGATCAATGAAAGGCAGAAGTGCTAGGAAAAATGGGGGACTCCAGCCCAAAAAGCTTGAAGCTAAACCCAAACCAAATAGATCGTCCAGACACGGACGATCCGGCCCAGGACGCAGAACAGCAAGGGTAGAATCGTAGGATTAAAAACGACGCTTAACGCAACTTTTCGTACTTTACAGAGACGGAGAGCACATTAACCATTCTTCGAGGTGAAGTACCGACACTAAAGTGAGTTTGTGGGAATTTTCCGTGAAGCGATACTACAAAACAATTATTTTTGGAACAAACCAATGGCATAAAATCTCGTAACTTTCATATCCTAGCGATCTTATGAGGATCACGCTAAGTGATCTCAACGCTATTTCTAGATTTCTGCATTCGTCTGTATCCATTTCAGGAGCCATTGTTATATTTATTATAGGCTGTCCAAGCGAGCTACGTCCTTTTCGGATGCTTAATAAATTGTTGCCTTGTTTTCTGTGGTCTCTTTGTGAAACAATTATGCAAAAATTTCTCACTGCCTGTCTATGATTACGTGGAAGGTGATTGATGATGCAGAATCTTACATGAATAACAAAAGAGCAAAGTAAAGCAATGGCCTTAGGACTGCAAAGACGATGTTTGGGAAACAAAGCTTCATTTTACTACATCATGTTTTTTGCGGTTAATGGAAACCCGTGACGCTTTTTATACTTCTTAACATCTCTGCAGTACTTTACCCCTCATGTTACTTTTAGGTCAGTGTTGAAAATCATAACTTATTAACCATGAGTTAAAAGTGCGATCACATAAATTGCAATCAGGAACTAAGTTAAGCTCTGCGCCCTGATTCAGAATAAATTGCCTTGGGCAGAAGTAATTGACTTTTTACCAATTACTCAGCCTCCCAACTTTCATTTCTAAATTTTGACCCATTAATTTAGCAATTCTGATTTCTCGGGTCATCAAACTGCTTTATTGACGATACTGATGTTGCGAAAAAGCTGAAGCTTTTAGAGTTGTTTGCCAAGATCCATTCCATTTAGGTCAAGAAAAATAAATGCCGCGCATTACCAGGGCCCACGCTGTTGTCAAATGGTTGACTTCAATCACAATAGAACAGGTCCTGATAAAGACAAAACGTCTCTGAACATAGCAGGAGACGGAAATAGAGCGGATAGCATCGAGACCTTTGAATCTCTCGGAATTTTAGGCTAGTTATTTCTACTCCATGCAGCTTAGCATTAGCTAGTTCTTTAGTACAACATATAGGCTCGGGAAAGGAAATACCGCGTTCGGCTGACATGGAGTTCGCTGTGAGGTTCATATATCCGCATATTTTTTCATGAGTGTTCTTAAGCCATGTATTCAAGGCCGAATGGTAGATTTTTGCTGTAAGGACCCGGACAGACTTCACGCGATTTGATCGTCGCGACTGAATCGCGACGAGACAACTGCTACAACATCATTCCATGCCGATCAACTTGCATTCCGATTGTGATACTTTTCCAGCCCGAAATTTTTGAATGTGAAATGAAAATGAATGGATGTCGGCGATTGAGTCGCGACGATCAAATTGCGTGAAGTCTGTCCGGAGCCTAACCTATATAGTCACTTTCCCTTTTGCATAAAAAACTCTCCTTCCTTACAGTATGAGATTCTTTGCAGTCGAATTTCTTACAAAATAACATCTATAGTTAAATGTGTTGTACGAGTAAGCAAGAGAATAATAGGTCAGTACAAAGAGCGAACGTTCTCGATTTTGAGAATTCCCAAATTCTCGCGCACATCGAACATTTTTGTCAAAAAGTGTGATGATTTTTGCTCTTAGAATGCACAATTGATCTCGACACGCTGTCACAAAGTCTTTTCAAAAGTGGCTTTTGCACAACAAGTTTGGCTGTCTGTCGCTTATCGAATTCAAAAGAACACGTGGTACTACCTTCAGCACATTATAGAATATATTCCTATGTAAATGTTTACGAAGCATACGTAACCACGAAAAATAACGGTGGCGGATCGAGGGGATGGGCGGGGGGAGGGCCCCCCCCCCTCCAAGGTTGGGTAGCGAAATTGTTGAAATTTACTTGCCTGTATAAAAATGTGCAAGTGACTTGTTTATTCTTGTAAACAATTAAAATAATTTTTAAAATTCCTCAAAAATTCAATTTAGCCTTATGAAAAATATTCTTTCGGGAATGTGGCTGACGCCATTCCCCTTTTTCCAGTAGGGGTTGGGGGCCGGCAAAAACTTTGAAAAGCACCCCGAAAATTTCTTCGGAGTGCGTGGCTGACGCCATGCACCTTCTGAAAAATTTTTTGCCGTCCCCCCCCCCCTGGACGGAAATTCTGGAACCGCCATTAATATCCACTATTACTATTTCTGAAGCAAATTTTCTGTACTTCTGTAAGATTAGTGGAATGACAGTTTGGGAAATATTGGTAAACATGTTTGTAAAATCTCCCGAAAAATGTTGCAGATTTTTATCAGTTATAGTTTGCAACTGGTGGGAAATGTTTATATCATTGATAGACCAGTATGTTTCAGTCAATTTTTACTGAGTCGAACTACCCTGAAGTAATTCTTGGAATGTTTTGTAAAAATCTGCTCATAGATTGGAGAAGCAGAAACACTGACAAGAGAATGAACGTAAGTGAAATCAGCAAAGAAATATCTCGCTTTGGTTGCTTTGCGTACTTTGACATAGTACATGACTTATCTTCAGAATTAAGGAAGGTATCATAACTTGCATGGTATTACCAACACTGTACTACGTTAGTTTATAAATAACTTCTCGATTGCTATGGAGGTGAACTATAGCTTCACCTAACAAATTTTTCTAGAGAGCGCTAGATGGGGGACAAGCAGATTATTTTGGGTTTCTCCCTATTACCAGAAAGTTTTTTCAAACTCCGTTCAATGATTATGCGAGTCTTTTTTGCATACTTTGAGTGGTAAACTTAATAAATGCAGATAATAGTGGAGAGAGACAGATGTCGAAACGTTAGCCAAAAAGTCGCTTTGAGATAATAACTTTTCGGCATAAATTAAGCTGATAGAGAGCCATAAAGTGAGAAAAATGCAATTGAAGCACATTTTGCTATGGTTAATTCACTCAATGTTGCTCATGAAGTTACAGTCGTAACCAACTACTCCTTAGTACTTTAACAGAAGAGTGCAACATAGCTGATGGTTTGGTGGGAACCAAGTGTTGTAGGCGATAGTGGTGTCGATATAATTTATCCACAGACGAACATAACAAACACTCGGGGATTCCTTTTATACGAGTAAAAGGGGCGGAATCTACCCGAGGACAGGGCGCCGTAGACGGGCTACAGGCTTAAAAGGGGAAGCCGCCGTAGAGGTCGACTCCCGCTGCACAAATGTCACTCAATGTTCGAGTGATTAGATACTTCACCAAAAGTGGATGGAAATATAGCCTATGGACGCTCCATAGGCTATTCTAAGAATAAGCTCTAGGTTGATGACCAAGAATCATCAACACTCCGGGCGAGCAAGGAAAAAAGAAAATGTGTGCAACATCGTTGAGAGCATATTTTATTTTAACAATTGAATTACATGTTTTAGAGAAATGAATTAAATACAAACAAGAACATATATATAAATAGAAAGTGAACACCTTACAAGTGAATACAGTGACATTTTTTACAAATGCCTTTCTTCTTGTAACGGCGTTCCACGCGTGCCGGATCCATGTTTGTTTTGTTGCGGCAGTCCGCTGCTTGATGTCCTGCCACATCACACACGTCGCAGTAGCGTGTGGGCAGGACCTTGGGGCAGGCGGATGCCTTGTCTCGTCCCTGCTTGAGTACTGCGTTGAGGAGGGCTTCGATGCGATCTTGTTGGTCCTCCAGCCGTTGCTGCCGTCTGCGCTGTTCATCGAGGGCGTCGATTATCGCGTAAAACATCTTCTTGGTGTCGTCCTCGCGGTAAGCCTCAGAAACAGCCTTTGAGCGCAAAATTACTTTCGAGGTAATTAGCGACTGTACCTTTTTCTTTGGCGGGTCTTCGGGTTCGGCGCAAGGTGGCTGCGGACGACTGCGCCTCGGGCGTTTTCTTGACGCAGCGGCTGGTTCGCTTGGGGCAGCGGCTGGTAGGACTTCGGTGACTGGTGCATCTTCTTCATAATCCAACTCCACGTCGAGCAGATCCTCTTCACTTTCGGGGAGCGGGACGGCGTATGGAAGCGACATAGTTATGGCAGCGTGGTGCTCTATCCCTATTTATGCAGATGTGCGATATTGTAAGGTGGCCGTGTCATGATTGATAACGACCACTTGAGGTCTGATTTCTGATTGCAGCAACCTGGGTCGGGCGAACAAGGTGATAAGTGATGTTAAGTATGTACATGACTAGGCTTGGTGTCATCCACTGAGTTAGCAGAGAATAATCGCTATGATCTTTGGTAGACAGAAGACTGTGAAGGCGATCAAGGCTATGATTGCGATGGCGGCTGCAATCGTGAATTTCCATGAAGACAATGCGACACTGATCATGTGCATCACATCGGGGTAGTTGTACATATTGACGTATAAGGCTTCATCAGTCTCGTTGAAGAAGTGCACTGCATCTTGGTGAGGATTGTAGGCCAATATTCCGGTGATATTGAAATTGTGAATGTTTTTTCCACATCTCAAAAGGCACTGATCACTGTATCTCGCTACCGTTGACTGGAGTAGTGCTATGGTTTGCACAGTATGCTCGTTGCAGAAAGCAGCGAATACGTTCCTTTGACATGTTATCTCCACCATTGCTGGATGACTTGATCGGCAGGAGAAGGTGAGCTTCGCACCGCTTAAACAATTGTAGCAGCCTTGGATTGGAGACGCCGTAATGTCACAATCTTCGTTGTTCACGATGTTCGCTGTGTTCCATTCTCCCGCGGTTGTTAGTGATAGATCGATGACGGACTTATGACTAACGGCGAAAATTCTTCCATTAGCTTCTTGTAGTTGCAAGAATGAGGAGGAAAGCGGTAGTCGGCTGTCCAGTGACGTGATCAGATCGGTGATATTCGTGTTCTTGCATTGGCAATTTGCTTCATCATCTGTCGGAAAGCACTTGCATGTGTCTTCTACATGGCAGAGGGAAAGGTTTTTTGAACTTTCCAACGTTGGACATCGTAGCGCAAATATCTCATCTTTGTCCACCATAGCTGTATGTGCAGTGGTGGAATCAGCAGTTTGCAGGAATATTGTGCTGAGCAGAGGGATGAGAGGTGTTGTAACGAACTCCATCGTGATGTTGGCATTCTTCTGCACTTTTGCTGTTTGTGCGGTGACCGTGAGTGTTGTAGATTCTTTTTCTCCTTTTGCACTTATGTAGGTGTATTTCAGTACTGCGGATTCTTCCCATGTCGGACAGTGGAGGATCTGATATATTGTCTCGGATTGTGGCTTGGCGTATGAGCGGGAAAAGAGACATCCAGGCATTGGTAGTAAGCATCCACAGCCGATGCTTCCACATGATGAGGTACAACGTGCGACTCCTGGGAAGTCGTATGTGTTTTGAAGCTCCGGAATATACGTTCGTTGACTGGTGTGCGCACAAGTATTGGATGAACAAGATCCAGAGAAATGGCAGCGTTTGGCTGATTCTGTGACGATATGGGCATCTCTGGTGTAGTATAGCACGACGGGATTGCATTGCAGGATGACATGTTGTAGCTGTATCTCCATACTGCCCATGGTCTCGTTTTGATGCTGAATCCGAAAGCAGGCTTGAGGTCGATGTTCACTTAGTGTGATTCGATTTTCCATGGAGTAACGGCATGTGAAAGTATCGGCAGTCTTCGTGCATATGGTATTGTTTGAGCTGAGGGTATGCGTGTACTGGCACGACTCGCTTCGTTGAAAGAGGCATGCTATGATGGCAACGAAGGTGATCATCTTGGATTGAATTGGACGACGTTTTTGCCATTGCTGGGTGGGAATTTCGATTAGTCCAACATCTTGTTGATTAGGATCTTCTACCGGTTGTGTGTGTTGAACATCGCTGTCGTTGCCTCGTCTGAGGAGTTTCGTTCCTTGGAGTCCAATGCAGCAAATGAACCAGAGTAACATTATCATGAGATAAGTGCAGACTGCTGCGATCGTTATGGCAGTATTGGGAGCACAGTGCGGGTTGCTGAAGAAATCCAGGCAGAATATGCATCTGATCATGTCGCACACGTTTCCTGCTGGGCAAATAATGGTGTCTGAATGTTGTGTTGTACCATTCAAAGTGCGCCACTGAATGCTGTGATCTGCCATTCGATGCTTTATCGGTAGCGCCACCTCTGTTAGGCCCTTCTTCGTGGTAATTCTCAAGCAGTCCTGGTAATTAAGGCACAATTCCGAGTCCGATGCGAATGTTGTGTTGATTTGCACTCCGTGGTCTAAGCAGGAGAGTTCTGCTGCGGAAGTCACATTACTGAAGAACATCGTGATCATGCATATGCTGAGCATCAACGATGTTGTAATATGAGCACTTTTATTACTGACGCTTGCGTTGGACGACGAGTAGTTTACTGGCTTTTTTGCCGCTCTCTGTGGCTGCTTGCGTACTTCAGACGTTTCTGTAGTCTTTTTCTTCAGGACTTTCTTCACTTTTCCAATCAATCCATCCTTGCGCTTTGTTGTTGGTTCGGTGTTGCCTTCCTTTGTATCCATTGTTGATTCAATTTCCAAAGGGATGAGGCGGGTGAGAGGTCTCTGGATCGTTCTTCCAGAGCTATTCCTCAGAATCACGCTTCTAATCTCGCCGTCTCTGCTTGGAACTAGCTCGATTATGACTGCCATTGGCCAGAATCCTCTGTTGAGTTGAGAATCTTCGTCGATGAGTACGACATCTCCAATTTGAGGATTTCGTTTCGTAGATTTTCTTCCCTTTTGAAAGATGTGGTGCCGGTCTCGAAGCTCAAGGAGATAGTCGTGTTTCCATATGCTCCAAAACTTTTTGGTCAGCTTTTCGGTTTCGGAAAGAGCTTGTCTTGCTTCCTTCTGGGAGATTAGCTCCGGCGTGATTCGATAATCTGGATCTTCATCATCATTGTCGGTAGGGATTAATTGTGTAGTTCCAAGCCGAACGTCTTTGTAAATGAAGTCGATGGGTCGTAGGAATTTGCATGGTGGACCATCGTCACCAATATATGTGAGTGGTCTTGAGTTGAGAATTCCTTCGATCTCGCATAGCGATGTTTGTAGTAGCTCTTCTGTTAACTTTCGCCGTCCGATGGTTTTCTGCATAGCTCTTTTGGCGAGTCCAACCATTCTTTCCCAGACTCCTCCCATCCATGGTGAAGCTGGTGGTATGAAGTACCAGGAGATTCGATGTTCGGCTAAGAATAGCGATAGGTGGGTGTCGTCGTCGTTCGCTTCGTTACTGCTTAGAATTGTTTCACCTAGACGGAAGTTTGTTCCATTGTCGCTGATGATCTTTTCGGGAACTCCTCGGCGTGCGATGAATCGTTTGAATGTGAGAAGGAAGCTCTTGGCTGAAAGATCTGTAGCCAATTCCAGATGTACAAGTCGAGTGACTAAGCATGTGAATAGTGCCACATAGCGCTTCTCGTCTGCTCCATTGGTGATTCTAATCAGGATCGGTCCCATATAGTCAACTCCAGTGTAGGCGAATGGTGGTGCTTGCGTTACTCTTTCTTTTGGTAGTGGTCCCATATCCGGGTAGGAGTAAGGTGATGAGTTGAACTTCTTGCATACAATGCAGTTGCGTAAGATTTTCTTGCACAGCACTCTGTCTCTAGGTATCCAGAATCGCTGGCGGAGTTCGCACAGTAATTGATTGCTTCCACAGTGCGCCATTCGTTCGTGGATACTTTCGGCAATTCGTAGTCCTAGTGGGCTCTGTTTAGGCACGTACATAGGGTTGGCAGTATCAATGCGAACGTCGGCGTGTTGAATGCGTCCACATTTTCTTAGGATGCCGTCAGTGTCGTAGATCGTCTTAAACTGCTTGTTGTTGGACACAGCGGTGGTGCCGAAAACTCGTTGCTCTTGCAAAATGATGTACTTCTCTGCGAGGATGATCTCAGCTGCATTTGGAGGCAATGTCTTCACTTGCTCCTCCTCTGCGATCTTGAAGCGAGTGTTTTTGCTTGCCGAGCGGATGAAACGTAGGCAATATGCGACGATCCTTTTCAATTTTGGATAGCTGCTTATGGAGTCAACTGGCCAGTCGCTTGTTTCAAAATGCTCCACTGTTTGGTTAGTGAGCATTTCACATTCTTCATGCTCGCTAGTATCGATGTTGCTGATACATCGTACGGGCCAATGTTCATTAGGATAGTTGAGCCAATTTGGTCCTTTCCACCATTTGCATCCATAGAAACCGTGCTTGTCAATCCCTCTCGTGGCACAGTCCGCTGAGTTCTCTTCTGTCGGAACATGGAAGAAATTCAGCTTTGCTGCTGTTCCTATTCTTCCTGCGGCGAATCCGATCTTCTGAACCAAAGTGGTAACAATTGGTGGTAGTTTCTTGTTGCTGCCGATCCATGACAGTGCGATGGTAGAATCACTGAAGAGGTTGACTTCTGTGAACTTAATTCCACACTTGGACATAGTAGTCTCCGCAACGGATAGTCCGAGAAATATTGACAGCAGTTCTAGCCGTGGAATGGTTTGCTCCTTCTTGATTGGTGCAACTTTGGCTTTTGCTGTGAACAGTGTCGTAACCATTTTCCCATTTTCTACCGTTGTGACATAGAGACAGCAGGCGTAAGCTCTCTTCGAACTGTCAACAAAAACAGCAAGCTTGTGTTCAGCGTCCGGTGTTTTGTGTAGCACTCTGCGTGGAATAGACTTTTTGAATCCGACTATGTCTTCTTTGATAGTTTTCCACTTTTGAGCTTCTTCTTGTGGAAGGGGAACATCCCATCCCAGCTTCTGTTTGTGTATATCCTGCAGGAAGATCTTCGCAGGTATCATCAACGGGGTCAGTAGTCCAAGAGGGTCAAAGCAGAATCCGTTTATCTGGCTAAGCACAGTTCTCTTGGTTACTTTTGCATGTTCCTTGTCAACACATTCCATGAGCAGGGTGTCGTCAGCTGCCTTCCATTTTAGTCCCAATACCTTGACGTCGGGACCTTTTGCTCTATCTGATTCCTTGATATTGTCGTTGACGTCTTTGCAGTTGGAGAGGTAGTCACGAAGATTCATGCCAATCGAAGAGAATATTTGTTTCGAGGCCATATACTTGTCCACCAGCTCCGCTGTGCTGTTTCCTTCAAGCAACACATTGTCGACATAGAGTGATTTAGATAACTCTTTTCCGATGGGTGAGTTGCCCTCCTCGATGTGTTTGAGTATGCATTGATTTAAGATGGCTGGGCTGGCGTTGATTCCAAAGGGAACTCTGCAGAAGCGGTAGTATTTCACGTTGGGTCCTTCAGCTGGGTTATGCAAGTCCTTGATCCATAAGAATCTTGTGGCATCTCGATGGTGTTCTGGAAGCCGTATTTGGAGAAAGGCTTTTTGAATATCAGCAACCATCGTGTTTTTGTACGTCCGGAACAGTAGTAGGACTTCATGGATCAGCGGAGTAAGAGCATGCCCTTCATAGACAACGTCGTTGAGGCTAAGCTCGTTTTTCCATGAGATGAGGCATCGAATACAATGCGGAGTTCGGTTGTTTTTCCTGGCGTCCATACGTGCCTATGTGGAAGGTAGAATGTCGTCACCCCTGTTGATTGTAGTGTGCATTCCTCAATAATTCCTTCCTTGATATAGGTTTGAAGTGTGTCGTTATAAATCCTGAACTTCTGCTCGTCGTTTTTTAGCGATCGAAGAAGGGCTTGTAGGCGACGGAAGGCCACGTTGAAATTGTCCTTTAGCTTGCAGACATTCTCATTGAAAGGAAATCCTGCTGTGATTGTGCCTTCTTTGATTGTGATCGTCTTCCTGTAATCGTCCATGAACTTGATAATGGAAGCTTCATCAGGATCGCTTTCTGTTTTCAGACCAAGGGATTCTAACTCATACAGGTGTTTGATATCCTGTTTATAGTCTTCTCTTGGTGATAGTGTTGGCGCTGCTACTATAAGTGAGCTTCCGTATACCTCAGTGGTGGGGGCTGTCGCGGTACAGAGACTTGTTCCTGAGATAGTATAACCGAAGATGGTGGGAGTTAGCATGAGTCCCGACGGTAGCTTTAGCACTGGAGTAGTGTGATCTATGATGCTGCTGAGGAAGTCCTGGCCAATGAGGATGTCCGGCGATACCGTCGTTTTTGCCAGTGTTTGCTGGGCAATGGTAATCTTAGCCTTGAAAATGAATTGGCGGTCTGCATCTGTGAGAAACGCTGTCTCTAGCGGTGTCGTGAGCTTCTGCTTCGTGTGTACGGACATCTTTTTTGCTGTTTTGGGGCCTTTCATGCCTCTCAGAATGACACGTACTTCGTTGGAGTTAAAGATTTCTTGTAGCTCGCCCATTCCTGACGTGGTGAATGACGTTGTTTGAATGACGGGCAGCTTAAGCTTTTCGCTGAGTCCTGATTTAATGAAGCTTCGCTGGGCACCAGAGTCAAGCAGTATCGTAATTGGTTGATAGTCCCATTCAGCTTCGTTGAAAATCATTGCAGATGCGATTTGAAGTACGCATTGATTGTATACAGACGGAGATTTGTCCAGTGTAGTTATCTCCTGTCCATTTTGCGAGTTTTGTGCTGCTTGCATGTTGCTCGCTTGTTGACGATTTCGATTCACTTGATTTCTTTGCGGTCGGGAGGCTTGCGAAGGCTGAGTGTCGCTATTCGTTGGACGTCGGGACAGCTGTAGATAGCCATTGTCTTGTTTCCTTGCGTCCGACAGGCAGAGAGATCCGTGATGAGAATCTTTACATTTAGGGCATGAGCCGACCGCTGTGCAATCCTTTGAGTTATGGGTTTTCGCGAAACACCTCCAGCATACTCTTTGATTCCTTGCTTCAAGACGGCGTGCTTCGGGAGTTGTGTATTTTTGGCAACTGTATGGTGAGTGTGGTTGTCCACACAAACAAAGTTTCCGTGACTTCTCCGAAAATTGCTTCGCCTTATCCCATTTTGGCTTCTCGACGCGAGCATTTTGGTGGCTGCCTGATCGGGAGTTGCTAGGAAAAAGGGTTTCCGTTGTGAGCGATGTCGTTTCCCTTAGTGAGATGATGCTGTCGATTGCGTCCAGAATCTCCTGAACACTAAACTGATCTCCTCGTATGGTTTCTTTCTGGATGACTGTTGCGCAGAAGTTTTCGGGAAATTTAGACAAGATCAGTCGCCGCCAAATTCTGTCCGCGTTCATCTTCATTCCGGTTTGCTCCAGGTGGATGATCCGCGAATTAATTGCTTCGAAGGTTTCTCGGCAGCTTTTGGGATGGTCTTTTGCTTCTTGAAGTCGTTCGATTTCATTGATAAGTATATCTGCGATGTTGGCAGAGCGGTCAAAGTGCTTCTTCAGAATGTCTACGGCTGTCTTGTACTTGTCTGCGACGACAGGGATGCAGTTCAGAGCAGCAGCCGCTTTTCCTTTGAGTGCTTGCTTCAAAAAAAGGAATTTGTCGCCATCTGATAAGTCTTCATCGCCGTGAATCAGTGATTCGAACACTGTCCAAAAACTGTTGAACTCTCTGAAGTTGCCAGAGAATGTGGGAATCTCTAGAAGCGGTTTCCGCACTTTGATCTGGCGTTCACTTCGTTCCGTTACTGAGCCTTGTCCTATCTCGCTTGCTGATTGGCTTGGGATACTAGGAGCAGGCGTATGCAAAAGTGTCATTTGCTCCCTCAGTTCATGCTGTCTGAACTGTATCCTAGTCTGCCATTCCACTACAACCACTTCTAGATCAAATGATTCAAGCTCTAAGTGCTTGCTGAGTTCTGTCATTAGCTTTTCCCTTTCTTTCTCATCATTCCTTGTGTTGATGTACTCCATAGCGGCATTGCTTTGCGTTTCTTGGAGCTTCATTGCGTTATGCAAAGAGTTTAAGAGATTAGTTATTACTCCTGTTTTCTCTTTAATGTACAGCTCACATTGCTCTTTTGTCGCAGGAAATGTGAAGGGAACATCAATGTCATTAATTTGTGACTCGTGCGATTTCACGAGTTTGCAGGCATTGTTGATCCTGATTTTGAAAACTTGAAGTGCGGCCATCTTCGAGATTTGATTCCAACTTCTTCTCTTTTTGTCCTACAGCAAGTTGGTTGCTTTGCTGTTTCTTCAGTGTACAAGTAGGGAGGTTTTCGCAAACTTGTAGGCTCGTTAGTGGTGTTGTTGAATAGAGACAGCTGTGTGCTGATCTCTGATGGGCAAGCGTGCCTGGTTGGCTTGAACGCTGTGCTGACTGGTAAGGTGGCTTGGACCTTGACCAGATAAGGATTGGGTTTCAATCCTTTAAGTCAAGAGTTCTTGGTCGAACTTTGACTTTTTTGGCAAAATGAGCTCCTCTGACTCAAGTTGCCTTCCTTTCAAATCTCAATGTATTGATCTCCGGTCCTTGGATAGGATTCGCGAGAGATCTATGAGATCGATTGGAAAATTGCACCCACAAAAATTTGTTCCGCTCTCTGGATCACTTACGAAAAGGATTCACAGAAAGTTTCACGGTCTTATGTGGTTATGTGCTGCACTCACAAAATTTGTTCCACCCTCTGGATCGCTTACGGAAAGGATACACAGAAAGTTTCACGTATTAATGTGATTATGTGCTCCACTTGACTACTCTTTCACTTTCTGGATCACTTACGAAAAGGATGCACAGAAAGTTTCCAAGTTGTCTGTGGTTGTGTGGTAACACTGATTCTTTCCCACTCTCTGGTTCGCTTACGAAAAGGATGCACAGAGAGTTTTCAAGAAAAAGTTCACACGACCGACTGATTTTTCCTACACCTCTCTGGATCACTTACGAAAAGGATGCACAGAGATTTTCAGATAGTCAGTGGTATTCCTTCCGATTTTTCTTACACCTCTTTGGATCGCTTACGAAAAGGATACACAAAGATTTTCAGATAGTCGGTTGGTTCTTCTTCCTGCCACGCGGGTCTTGTGGCCTCGATTCCTCCGGTTGCAGATAGAATACGAGGTAGCTTCACTGGTCGATGCACCAATTTGGTGGGAACCAAGTGTTGTAGGCGATAGTGGTGTCGATATAATTTATCCACAGACGAACATAACAAACACTCGGGGATTCCTTTTATACGAGTAAAAGGGGCGGAATCTACCCGAGGACAGGGCGCCGTAGACGGGCTACAGGCTTAAAAGGGGAAGCCGCCGTAGAGGTCGACTCCCGCTGCACAAATGTCACTCAATGTTCGAGTGATTAGATACTTCACCAAAAGTGGATGGAAATATAGCCTATGGACGCTCCATAGGCTATTCTAAGAATAAGCTCTAGGTTGATGACCAAGAATCATCAACAGATGGAGAACGTTTGAGCACTTCTAGCAACCTGGCTTGAAATCTTTCCGCATCCTTTCGCGACCGTGGGGAAGTATTTATCAGTCTCCCAATCTCTGACCAGGCAGTTTTGCACCGGTCATCGCCCGATGGGACAGGCGCTCCTTCATAGCAGAAGAGCATCACCCGATCGAAATTGGAAAATTGGGGAAAACCCCTCCTAGAGAGCTATTGGAAAGTCCAAATTGAAAGGTAATCAGTTTAACAGTTTAACAGTTGTGTTAAATTGAATATCATATCTGTTCTTGATTTCCCACGTGATATGGTGGTTCAGCCTCTCCTTGTAGAGACATTCAGCGGTTCCTCTTTCCTCGCTGATTTGTCCTCATATATTTTACTTTCGTCAATATCCTCCTACACTAACTGCTCATAGAACTTTGGCAACAAAATGTTTATCGATCGTTGTCACAAAATAACCATGTAGTACGTGAAGTGTAAGACAAAAGCGCAAAGCGAGGCAGCAAGAAAGCTTTTTCTAGTAATGAACGAGGACACAATGAGATTCGGGGGACATCGGAAACGGCAACGGTTCAACACACCACAACACAAACAAATAAAGCCACTTGGATCTTAGACGGGGCAGCAGTCGCTCTCTTAGTACTCGTCTCCTTCTTCACCGTTGTCCTCCAAAGAGTCCACACCAACCTAAAACAATCCTCTTCAGTTAGGCGTGGTAAGAAGGAAGTAAGTGAAAAGAAGAGAGAAAAGGTCAGCTCTCTCTGGCCTACTTCCTTTGGCTTATGCTGAGTAGCACGGAACAAAGAAAATTCCGAAAAAATCTCCAAAAAGAAATAATGTCGGAGATAGACATTATCAAATATCGCGAGCAAAACAATAGCTCCGTCTCTTGCGTTTTTGGCGGCAAAAACAAGAAGTTGGCCTGTTGGTAGATACCGGTCTCAACAAGATGCGAGGAAATGGGCGGCGCTTCGAGTTGCCTGCACATTTCACGTTGTGGCTTTGCCCCCTTCCCACAGAGTAGATTACTTGCAAAAATATTCCGATGCCTTGGGTACAAAGGATATTAATTTTCTTTGATTTAGGGTGATGCTCAAAAACTTTTCTTGGAGATCTTGTTCCATTTTTTATGGCTAAGATTCTATAAATCTCGTGGAAAACGTCAAAGCAAAAATTCTTATGCTTTGCTAAAATAAAATCGACATCGTCTAACTTCAACTTTTCCCCGTTTCTTTCATTCCCCTTTCCCCCCCCCCCCCTCCGTAATCCCTTCTATCCTCGTCCGTCGTCGTTCTCTTTACCTCTTCATAGTCCTTCTCCAGTGCTGCAAGGTCCTCACGTGCCTCGGAAAACTCTCCTTCCTCCATTCCTTCGCCAACATACCTAGAATTGGCACAGATTTCCGAACCGGTTTGTCGTCAGAACGCTTGTTTCCTGCCTTACCAATGCACAAATGCCCTTTTCGCGTACATCAAGTCGAATTTATGGTCGAGTCGAGCCCATGCTTCAGCGATGGCGGTCGTATTCGAGAGCATGCAAACGGCTCTTGGTACCTTAGCCAAATCGCCACCTGGCACCACAGTAGGTGGTTGATAATTTATTCCGACCTGCAAAAAATATTGAGATTTCGCGCATGAGATGATTTCGACAGGAAACTGAAAACTTATGCAAGTCAACCTTGAATCCGGTTGGGCACCAGTCAACGAACTGAATGGAACGCTTTGTCTTGATAGTCGCAATTGCGGCATTTACGTCTTTTGGTACAACGTCACCTCTGAACAGAAGGCAAACTGCCATGTATTTGCCATGTCGTGGATCGCATTTCACCATTTGGTTATGTGGTTCGAAACACCTGAAAAGGTCAATAATTGAGAAGAAGGTTCTAGGTTAGAGTCAAAATGAGAAAAATGCACTCTCAAGACTTACATGTTAGTAATTTCAGCAACGGAGAGTTGCTCATGGTAAGCTTTTTCAGCAGAGATCACTGGCGAGAATGTGGCGAGCGGGAAATGGATACGGGGATACGGTACAAGATTTGTCTGGAAACAAGGTTTTCTGCGTGAAATCAAACTGCGCCCATACTTGCCGTGCCAGCGCCGTTCCAGCGCCGTGCCGGAACGCTGCGAATGGCACGGCCAGCACGGCGCTGGAATAGTGCTTGCACAGCGACGGCGCACGGACTATGGAACTGAGCTTTTACCTGGAACTCAGTAAGATCTACATTGAGTGCACCATCGAAGCGCAGCGATGCGGTTATAGAAGATACGATTTGGCCTGAAACGATTGATTTCGAGGTCCAAAAAATTCTCTCTTCGAAAAATGAAAGCAAAAAGTCGCTAATCTCACCGATGAGTCTGTTTAGATTGGTATAGCTAGGTCGCTCAATGTCCAAATTTCGCCTGCAGATGTCATAGATGGCTTCGTTATCGACCATAAACGAGCAATCCGAATGTTCCAATGTGGTGTGCGTGGTTAAAATCGAATTGTACGGCTCAACAACAGCTGTTGAAACCTGGAAAAAACATAATTGCAGGAAAGCTAGAGGAAAAACTGCTAGTAGGAAAAGTTGGAAACTGAAGTACTGTGGGAAAGTAAACAAACATAAATGAAGTGAATATTTTTGAGCACTGACGCATAAGTCACGGGTACTACCCCACATTCGACCACCAAAATTCATTAAGAAACTAGCATAAAGAAGAGATCGTGTTGATCAAATATGTCTTGGAATTACGAATTTCAACCAGATTTTTCGTCTTTCTGGTCTTATTTGTAGAAATTCTCGAGCAAGATAAAATGTAACATCCATTCCTCAGGGACTCGCGCCGTGCGGGCGGCCAGCGACGACCTTACAATCGCTCGTTGGTGTGTGCGGTTGTACGGTCGTCAAGGGCCGTTGGAACCGTCAACGTGGGGCGCCCGCACGGTCTCTAATGTTCGCCGCTTGCGCGGGGAAGGTCGGCCGCTCGCTTGCTGTTGGAGTAGAAGTATATGGGATATCTTGACCATTTTTCTTGGATAGATCAATCCTTTTCACATTTCGGGAACATGGATCGATGCTTCCGCAATGGCCAAACTTTTCATGCGAAAGCCCACTCCATCACTCTTAATGACTTTAGCCTCATACAGGTCCATCCAGCCTTGCTGATGAAAGAAAATGTTAATGACACGGTATCTCAATGCTTAGCCAGCCTAAACACTGCATCGTATCTCACACAGGCACCGTTTACGCTCGCAATGTGTGAAAATAGTGAGCAGAAAACAGAGGTCACTGTCGGGCGCTTGCACGGCAACAGGTATTGCCGACCGATAAGACGGACGCATTGCCGGCCGCTCGCTAGAGCAACTGTATTGCATGTCGTTTGCACGGTAACATTGCCTGCCGCTAGGACGGCGTTTCAGTTGTTGGCCGCACGCACAGAAGCTTTAGACTTATGCTGACCGCTTGTGCGCTAGCCCTTAAAGGCACCGTCCACCCAAAATTTCGACCTCCATGTTTTTGCCGTTCCAGGGCCTTCTCATACCCCTGATTCCGAATATCAAGTTGAAAATCCGCGAGAACCACGAAAAACCCTCGTTTTAGAACCAGCAGAGCGATTTCTTCGGTACGGTGATTGGTTGGGCGCGCATGGATGGGCGGGACGAACGTCACGCCTACTCCGAAAGGGGAGGAGCCAGCGTCGCGAACGCGGCCTGAAGCGATTTCCGAGGCAATTTTCTCGGTTCGGAAGCAACTTCAGGCAGCGCGAGTTGGGCAGTCATACAGTTGGGGGCCCGCATTTGCTAGGTATCATAATCTCGCCAACCCCAATTTGGGTGGACGGTGCCTTTAAAGGAGGACCGCCCGCACGGCGCCAATCCCTGAGTCTGTAACGCAAAGAATAAAGAAGATATACATTGCAACGCTTTTTTTGTTAGTACAAAAATGCACAAACTTCCGCAATCGCTGCACTGTCCACGTCATTCAAGAACAAAATCTCGCAAAATCTTCACCTTCGAAAGATCAAATTTCCTGAATTTAGTCAGCCAACAGAAAGACTATTACTTCAAACGATAATGGGAATGAATTCAAAGTTGGCTTACAATATATGCCACTTTTATTTTCAATTGATTATCACGAAAATTTCCAATTTACAACCACACGAACTCAGAGACTTGTGGGAGAAGTCTAGAGAGATGCAAGATATTTAAATTCTCTCACATTTCTTTGGAATTTTCACCAAAATAACAACAAACTCTAGTGACACTCTTTACTGAGCACTTCACTTGCCTGTGGAGCTGGATAGACTGAAAACTCCAGTTTAGCCTTCTTGCCGTAGTCTACCGATAGCCTTTCCATGAGCAGAGATGTAAATCCAGATCCAGTGCCACCACCGAACGAATGGAACACGAGGAATCCCTGCAACATAGAAATAATCAAGGAAAACTTAGACGACGTAAAATAATGTTGTATATTCGGCGTATCCAAGTAAAATACTCAGCAGTTTTCCTTTGAATATCTTCAAAAACTTCACAAAAGACGTTTGTGATCTTACTAATAGTTAGATACTGAATTTTACGGTTTAAGATCTCCTAGCCAACTATTTCGATCTAATTCTCTAGTCACAGATTCACTATGCCAGTCATCATTCATTTTTTTGAACGAGTATCCATCGTCAAATTTGCAACGTCTTATTTTGCATTTTGTAGATTTTCCTTTTGCATTTTCATTTTTATTGAAATGATGCAGCAGTTCAGCTTAGCTGAAGCAAATGTTTTCATAAAAATTTGATTTTTGAAATGTAGCCTGGATTAATTCAAAAACATTAAAAATTCCTCTCACTTCTGTTACCTCAATTCCACTTTATTCTCCTCCTTTGTAAAACTCTATGGAGTCGTCTCTAGCAGGTATTGTTCAACAGTCAACTTGCGCGAACCCATTAACCTTGTCATATTTCATTCATTGTGGAAGTCGTAATGTCGTGTAAAAAGACAAAATAGCCACATCCAACGACTTGTTCTTTTCAACATATGAACTCATGATATACCGGTTCCTGCGCTGTTCCTGTTGAGAGGGCCGTTACGATACTGTCAAAGATTTATGCGCGCAGACATGCTGAGCAAGTCTGAGGAAGATTATAAGAAAATCTCGTAAAGCTAGTGCTTCCGATCCAAATTTCTCGTAAGCTTTAAAAAAAACACTATCATCAAAGTACACTTGAAAAACTGGTACTTTCAATATTCAACATTTCTATTCAACCTAGGCCCCATTTTTACCTGAGCCTTTTCCCCTCCCTCACTGCCTTGAGAACTTGGATCATAAATGACTCCAAATAAAACGAATTTTTTAGTTACAACTAGCTGGCAAACCCGGCTCCGCCCGGCCCTGTCATTATTATATTCGTAATATCAGCATGCTCGATTACCCCCCTGTGCCAACTCCCAGCCCCGTAGCTCAAATTTTGCAAAAAATCGATAAAATCGATATCGATCGATAACGAAAAGTAGCCTATGACACGCTCCCTGCCCCGAAGTATATGTGTGCCAAGTTTGGTCCAAATCGGTTCAGAAATAAAAATTTCTATTCCGCACATACGTACGTACAGACAGACAGACAGACATACAGACAGACAGACATACAGACAGACAGACATTCAGCTTTATATATAAGATAAGATATAGCTGACTGCACCTAATGTTTCATTCATGGGTCACTTGGGCTATTTTCAATTATCGGGAAGGCAGCTGACTTGCAGAATGGACTGCAAAAATGTAACAAACATAAAAACTACTTTTTTCGAATTGCTGTTTGAAAGGCACAGCACAGGTAATAATGTATTATATTTTGAACTCTACAAACTTCTGTAAGTTTTCAAAGGTCGCACATTATAGAGACATCAGTTTACTACAGATGCTTAGCAGATAAAATCAAATTCCGAACGGTCACCATTTTATCTTCAGCACTGCCATCATTTTGCAAATCACTCGGCTTCAAATTCGCTCTTACCTGAAGTCCAGTGCAGTTGTCTGCCAGGCGTCTGATGCGATCCAAGGTAAGATCGATGATTTCCTGTAATCACAAAAATTAAATTTAAAAAAACCTAAGAAAGTGAAGTAGCTAGGAAGAAGAAGATTGCTAGCGACGAACCGATGTTTGCCGACCAATCTAACAAGGGAAGGATACTTGATCGCAGTGACGATTGGGTAAGCGGTGTATACCGCGTATACCGTCCCAAGACGGTGATCTCTAAACCGCATTCCATATCTGCTATGATGTCATTCTGGAGGAGTTTTAAAGGAATTTTGCTGCAGTGGGATGGTGGCTTGGACTGCGGAGCTGGATGTTGTGGGTTCGATTCCTCTGCGATGCCACCCGTTTTGCATTTTTGTAAGTTTTAGCAGGCAAGTTGCAAAGCCTGTCGACATCAAAAAAAGTTGATTTTCACAATATGAATCAATATATTTACATTTATTGGCACTGAATCACCTTCTAACCTAAAAACACTCCTTTTTAGCCTTTTTCATTAGATACCTTACTCAATTTCTTTTTAATCGCTGTGCGCACTGTGAACGTGTTTTTTGTTTTGCACATTTTGTGCTTTCATATCATATGTGTTCATGAAGACCTTTCAATGTAAGGTTGAGTAAAGTATCTAATGAAATAGGCTAAAAACGAGTGTTTTTAGGTTAGACGGTGGTTCATTGCCAATAAATGTAGATATATTGCTTCATATTGTGAAAACCAACTTCTTTTTGATGTCGACAGGTTTTGCAACTTGCCTGCCAAAATTCACAAAATTGCAAAGCGGGAGGCATCCCAGAGGAATTGAACCCACGACGTCCAGCTCCGCAGTCCAAGCCACTATCCACTGCACCAAAAATCCTTTATAACACCTCCAGAATGACGTCACAGCAGATATGGAATGCGGTTTAGAGATCACCGTCTGGGACGGTATACGCGGTATACACCGCTTACCCAATCGTCACTGCGATCAAGTATCCTTCCCTTGTAAGAGTTTTATAATATGAAAAAAAATTCGTATTTCTGAGCTTTTCCACTCAAGGCAGCGTCCAGATAAAAAAAACCAAAATATATTTCCCTCCACTATTAAAAAGATAAGCTTTTTCATCCCCAAAGTGCACACATTCCATTTTAGCTACAAAAATACACTATCAAAGAGTTTTGTTTGCTTAATCAAGCAGTTGTTCGGACTCATCATGCTCTCAGTGCAATTGCAGCCTACACAGCTGCACAATTTGCTTTAGTTTCTCGATATAGTCGCGAGTATCCGTTTCCCGAATTTGTTATGCAGTATATAATTACACAGTGGGAACAACGGTTGATGCAAGGGACCACTGAACCACTAACCTTTCCGATTGTGTAGTGTCCACGAGCATAGTTATTAGCTGCGTCTTCTTTGCCAGTGATAAGTTGTTCGGGATGGAACAGCGATCTGTAGGTGCCGGTGCGGATCTCATCTGAATATGCAATTTGCACTGAGGCCGATGCTAATCGAGGATTCTATCTTTCGCGAGTTCTATATATGTCCTCAGCCGAATAGAACGACCTTTTGCGACTTTTCGTTATGCGCTTCCCGGCCTCTTTCGCTCCAATTGCAAAATGGCATTCGTGAGGGACTGCGAATCGATGAAATGACACACATTACAGAGGTCCGCGCGACGGGATTCGAAGGGCAACCACTCGAGCAGCGCTTGCCAAAAGAGCAAAGATGATATACTGACTCAGAATTGGGTTGCCTAGTAGTAAATTAGTCTTATAATCCGACTATGTGTGCAATTTCACAGCAAGACACGGTTACGCATAATAATCAGAACTTCATTGGTAGCATTTCCTATGTGCTATAATTTTTTTATCTATAATAGAAAATCCCAATAGATTTTTCTTTTGATGGGGTGGGGGAAGCGGCAGAAAATTTCGCGAATGAAGGGGTGTGCCGGTAGGGCGTATCCAAAGAAATTTGATTACTTTTATTAACAGAGCCTTCTAAATCTTTTCTAGCTTACAGCCGCCAAGTGTCAATAAAGATCCTGCGGCAACAGCGCCGTCAAAAAAATTTCACAAAGCTTTAGAGTTCAATGGAACTTGAAAAATTATTTGACTTATTTTTGTAAAAAGACTACCTCCGCAATTCTGCTACCCATGTATTCACTGTTCACTTATAAAATCGTGACGACGGATTTTACTGCGGACTTTGCCTTCGCAGGAGCATAAAACGATCATACAAGAAGACACCACCTCAACATTCACTCAGTCACTCCCGGTGTCTAAATATTATTATACGCAGGCATATAAACCATTCGACTAGAAATGAAAACCAAGAAAACGCGATTTCTGGAAGTGCGTGTCGCGCGCGGTCGCGCCATCGTCGCTTTTCAAATGCCCTATAGACTATTTCGAAGGCTCTGCGATCTATTTCTTGGAGAGTGGGATGGGGGGAAGGAGAGTGGGGGTCGCGGGTTTTTAGTTTCCACTCAACACACATTGTACGAGATTTGCAAGAACATGCGAGATTTGCCCACCATACTTCTTGTACTTCTGCAACAGTGCGTCGCAAATACACCGAAATGAAGTCAATGCCTTATTCCGACTTGGCTGCTTTTTGTATCACTTCCTTATAATGCGAAAAAGATCCATTTCCAAATAATATTCGATGCGCTGACCCGGAAAATGCATCATAACCTATTGCTAGTAATGGCCGCACGAATTACCCATTCGCATCGAAATCTCGCAAAAAAGTGTCCCCATCTCGAAGATGGCCTCTCTTTAGTCAATGCATAGCACTTCCTTGAGCCCTCGTTGGATATGAATAGAATAGGCCGCTTTGCAGAGGCTACTGACAACGTTTCGGTTGCATTTGTAATTAAATTGGATGGCCATCGTTCCACTGCACACATACGTCCCAGGAATGGGTTTTCCAATAAAACCTTTTTTACTCTTTGTAGCATTGCAAAATGTGAATGATGTGAAGTGGAAAATCCGTAAACGCTCGCCATAGATTTTGGCAAACAAACGGAGCAACTTTTCATACAGAAAAAGACAGCAATAATTTTTACAAGCCTAAGTTATTCCCATTTATTAAATGGATTGACTGAAAAAAGCTTCTGTAGTTGGTCCGGAAGTTACTGCCAAACAAAAATCAAATAGCATTGGACCGAGTAGCCAAAATCACATTTCCTTTCGTTCTTTTGCTATTACGTAGCTTACACTTTGCGAAAGCTATTATCTGAGAAAAACAAATTCTCCGCTAAACGTCATTTGTCGTTCATTCAGAAATGGAAGCAAAAGCACGGTTCGATCAGATGGAAAGCATAAAGCATGGAGCATTGCATTGTGGGTTCAAAAATCAATGCAAATTCACTCTGAGAAATAAAACGTCTTATGGTTATGCATCTGATCGATTGGCAATAAAGCTATACGAATTTCCACGTCTTACAAATGAAGCTTCAAATAAACAGCACCTCTTACTTTTTTGTCAAAAGTATGACTCGCATTTATAGAAACATCAGAACAATCCTTTTTTTTCCTTTTGAAGTAAGCCCACGAGGTAAATTTGATGCCATAACGCTTTCCGGTTCTTTGGGTAAATGTTTGTCATATGTCAGAAAGTATAGAATTGCAGCACTATAGAATACAGCACTAGTGCAAAAATTTACTTACTTTTTCTAAGACCTCAGCTTTTCTACTCAGACTGCATTTGTAATATATTTGATGTAATAATAATGGATTGAACTATTGAACTCCGTAAAGCTGACATGTGATAGCCACGAAGGAAAAAAATTTGCTAGATTTACCAAAATGGAACTGTCACGTAAGAATTGACAACTCAGAAATGAACCTTCTGTAATAGTGCAAATATTGGCATCATTCCAAAAAGTAACTTCAGCTTTTCAGACAAAATTATTTTGACTAAAGAAAAGTTCAGGCAAGAAAAAATTCCGGAAACTTCCAACCCTAAAATTCTCAAAAGCGGTCAAGCATGACAACCAAAAAAATTTTGCAAGGTTCTGAAATTTCACAGAATTTTCGATAATTTTATTCATTTACTATCGGGAACATCGCCTTCTCCCTTCCGGTCAGCCACTGATTGCATTGAAAAAAATTGCATCAAAAATACAATTCCATGCTTTATCAGCTAACCTAAAACCTCAGTATACCACTAGAATTTTCAATTTTTTTTTGCTGTTAGGTAGGCGCTCCAATAATTGCAAAAATGCATTTCTGTGTTAATAACATTTCATACGCATTTCTTGTCATCGACGCATGGCAATTCCGCAAAGAGCCCTTTGATAGCGCTCGTTCAGTGCATTTACATGTAAACATACACTCCGATCGCCATAATAGAGCCAAAGGGCCGCGCACATTTACTCGAATTGGTCTTGCCTCGACACACTCGAGCTGTGCGCCGTCAGGAGGCCGGAAACGTCAGCGCACAAGGGCAGCTGCAGACGAGAAAAAATTCGATGATGAAATTCAACACGCTTCGGTTGCCCTTCTGCAGCTTTGGGAACGACTTAGGAGGACATGGCCTGCATCTCATATGACTTCTTGCAGGAGATCCATCCAGGAGAAAAGGATGAGGGAGGGGGGGGGGGGGAGAGAGAGGGGTTAAATGTGTGCCTTATATGAGAAAATGTCAAAGAGACCGCGTCAAGATTTTATTAAGGCAATTGTCTTGTTTTGTTCGCCATGGCTTAGCGCTCGATATTAGTGGCTCCAATACCATCTGCCGATGATTCGGTGGTACCAATGCGGACATGGCACTAATTGCCAGTGAAACGGATGGGAGCCATGAGTAAGCACTTCCCCTTCTTCCACACCCAGCCCCCCCCCCCCCCCCGTAACAGGGCAGGACTCCACTTTGACAACAGAAAGGGCACCTCTCTGAAGAAGATTGCGAAATTCACGATGCGAAAACTAACCGATGACGGTCGGCTCCAGGTCGATCATCACGGCGCGGGGCACATGGCGACCGCTGCCGGTTTCGGAGAAAAACGTGGAAAAAGAGTCATCACATCCGCCAAGCGACTTATCCGACGGCATCTGACCATCGGGTTGGATTCCTGAAAGAGAAAACTCGTCCCAGATGTTATTTTGGATCTTTTAATATTGTACGAACCATGTTCCAAGCAGTACAACTCCCAGCAAGCGTTACCGATCTGAACGCCGGCCTGTCCAATGTGAATCGAGATCACCTCACGCTGCAAACATACCAGACTTTTTTTTCTTTCAAAAATCAAGTCATGTGGAACAAACCAAATATGAAATGCTCGTTGTTGCGAATTCTAATGCTTAATGGCCCCGTGCAAAACTGCCCCCGATTACCCCGCTCAACACCTGCTGTGTAAATTTTGGTTAGAAGAATAGCCTTAGCAGCAGAGACTATGAATACACCCAGCCCCATCTAGTCATCACTATGCCAGTTCCTTTTAGAGCAATACAGGCCAGCCATATAAATGTATCGACCGAAGAGACGCATTTTCATCGACGTTTTTCTTCCTGCAACTAGTAGAGGGCAAAAGGAAATTTCCCTCGGGACGACTGTGACACTCTGAAGCTTCGAAAGCACTATTTATGGGATGATAATACGCCTAAGGACAGACATATGCACTTTATAATTTGTAACTTCATTTATAGAATTGTGGGAGTCGCTACAAAGTCAAAAAATACTTTGAGAAATGCATCCTGCGATAGCGATATTACCTTCTTTTGTTTAAAAATGCTATTTCATTACACAAAGTTAACGCAGCAGACTATCAGCTAGGTTTTGTAAAAAGTTCTTCTACCCATCCTTCTATATTCACACTTTTATCTCTGAGTGATGTTTTGAGTTTCATACGAGAGGAGCAATGATTAGTGTAAGATAGGAAAAGACTGAAAAACGACATTGAGTAATAACTCCTTGACACCAGACGACAGAATGATAAAAATCAAAATTATATTTGCATGTCCTGAAAAGAATGATCACGGCCTGCACGAAAAAAATATGGAAAAAAGGACAAGTTCTGTACTCATTCAAAAATTTGTGTAAAAATTGAGGCTTCAACAAAGCAGCATGTTTTGTCGATTTTGTAAAAGAACTGATGTCATGTCAAAAAATAAAAAAGAATAATATTCATCTGCAGCAGAATTCTCCCTGAATGAGATTCAAAAACTGGTTAGCATATTCAATGCTGTAATCCTGGAAGTTTTTTAGGCAAAATTTTGCAATGTAAAAAATGCCAGGTGAATTTTCTTCTTGGTTTCGTGACCGAGAAAAGTCCGCAACGGTCAATTTTCGGCCTGACTATAGTTCAAGTCATTTTTTTAAAGTCTGCAAACATTTTTTTCTGCATTGCGGACATTGCAGCTTGTCTAAACACGTTCAAATCAAATGCGTTGCCATGTTTGTTCAGGACAAAAACTGTCTAAACGCTGGTATAATGGTCAAACATTCGCCTTACAAGTTACGTTCATGCAAATACTGGTATAAATAGTACAAAGGAATTATTCGTGAGTATTGAAAAGGACACAAAAGTTTAGACTTCGAGATACTAAAATTGGGGATGAAAAAAATTATTTCTTCTCCTTGCAATCGCAATTTCTTCAGATGAATAAAAGAGACAATAGAAGGAAAATTACTACCAAAAAAGACGATTTGTTCAACGAACTAGTTGTCCTTCTGCACTTTCTACATGTATGCCCCTGACCTTGTCTAAAATTTATCGCTTAGCGAAAAAAAATCAAAGAAGAAGTGTTTGGAGATTTGTAATGCTACCCTTTAGAGTTGCGTGATAGAACATTGGCTGAAAGTCCTTGGGGAAAAGCGAAAGCTATCGAAAATCGTGGTTGAGGTCATATTCCTAGGCAAAGCTTATCGGTTTTGTTTTCTGTCGTAAATATTGAATAGATCTGGGAGATTGAGGATTTATGAGGAGAGGAAAAAGAGAACAGCAGACGCTTCTGCATGATGGCTCATGAAATGTAGGAGTGCAAAATTTACGAGCAAGAAACTCGAAGAAGAATACTTTATCAGTAATGAAGCATAACAATTTCTGAAAATTTAGAATGGCTCAAAATTTTTATTATGACTTATCTGTTTGATTGGTCCATCTGTCTCTATCATAGACTTTAAAAGAGTGGCTATGAGACCAAACATTCAGCGATTTCGTTTTCAAACTTTATGACCAATAAAAGCTGCTATCTTATCGTATATTCTTCGGAGGGGTTCCTTTGAGAAAAAATAAAGCCTCCAGATGGCATCATAAGATTTCTTTGATCAGCGATAAGCCAAATATAGTATGAAGGCATTTTCAGACAAAAGTCGAGACATTCATAACGATAGCATAGAACTTTTGTCAAGAAGAAAGAGTAGCAGCAAGAGGGGGGGGGAAGTGGAAAAAGGGGCAAACGATCGGTGATTTTGGAAAAACAGACGAGAGACATGCAAATGTAAGACCCTCAAGTGCATGTGTCAATACTCATCAAAGCAGGAAAAAGATTGCTCCCATGCTTTACAGTAACCCTACAGTAGGCCTAACACACTGTACACTCACCATGTTTCCACTTGTTTGAACTGGTCGGCTTCACAAGCGCGCGCGTTCCACGCAGAGGGTCAATGTCTTCCGTTCGGAGGCCGGCGCGGGCTCGCAGCACACACCACACACACAGACGCACAGAATCTCCGGGGCGAAGCGAAGTAGCCCCCGCCTCTGCGTCTCTGATCGAGCCGCCCGCGTCTCTCTGCACTCTGCCGCCACGCCCATCGTGCACCTCGGCATGGCAGCGGGCCGCAGCCATTGCCGGGGGCCCCCAGGGCAAACAGTATCGGATTACCAACTACCGTACATTTCTAATGGATATCGAGTTAGTCGGTTTATAGCCGGGCGTGGTGGTCGGTCGGCTGTCGGTGTGGTGGCTGTGGCTTCACACTCACACTTGGTTCAAAGTTCAGCCTAAATGCACTAACTACTTCGTAGAAGCTATACCTGCTACAGTATCCTGGAGTCTGCAGGTAGGTCAAATTCAGGGACTTTCATCCCAAATCCTTAACCGCTACCTTAGCTCATTCTCCACCGAAAGACAAGTTCAAACTCGTCCATCTGTCGGACTTCAGTTCAACGAATACCAATAACTGAGATATTCGTTGTTTTTGAAGCCTGGCCGAGCTCGAGGCGCCGGCCAAGCTCTTTTCCTTTTCCGAATCCCATATTTAACTCAACAACTTCCTCAAAGCAATGCGCATTGACTTGTCGTGCCAATTTTCCGGCTATTTGTCGGGTGAACGACCATATCGTACAAATTCGGCATTGTCGTGCAAATGATTTGAAAGGTCTCGGATAAACTCTCATGAATTAATGATTGCATTGTGCAAACACTCATCAAGGGGAAACGTGATCCGTGAGTGCAGACACGATCATCAATCGGCCTATAGAGAGTATGCGTGTAGGATCACATCCACACCAGCTATAGCGCGACAGATGCTCTCATCTGCGCGAAGACAATGACGATCGCGTTAATCCGTTTGAATGCGGTTATCGTAGGGTAGAGTGATCTGACCAACTGGCACCAGCACTAACTAGCAGATGACAAATGTTGATGAGGGAATAGGTTGTTATAAAAGTTCCTCTGCACTAATAGGAAGTACACAAAATCTTAGGTTCGATTATTTTTCCTGAATGAGGACAAAGTGTTTGTGGAATTACCTTTACTCTAAATTCAAAGATTGTCTTCTTCTGTAGTTGTTTCCAGAGTTTTGATCAGAAGCTGAAGATTATCAGGAAAATTCGTCACTTTTCCATTACGATTATATCAGGATTTTTGCACTTCACCCATAGTCACTATAAATTTTCGCGATTTTCATTACCAGTTAAACTGACCGACATTTTACCACCAACTTATAAGGAAAGTCTTTACACTCAAAATGGCCTTTCCTGGAACTCTATGACATAATTCTAGAGACCTCGGAATCTACGAATCTCTGTGGAAACTGAGTTTTGAACAATGCGTTTTAGGAATCAAAGTGAACTAGAAATCATCAAAACTGCTTAAATGGGTTAGTTTGATCTCCAAGAAGCTTAAGTGTAATTTCTGTCTGATATCCCCATACATCCCAATGCTCTATTAGAGCGCAGAACGGACTGCAACGATTCGTTTTAATACTGCTCCTGCATTTAGAAACGCACAACGTTCTCGTTAATGTAAATACAGAGCTTATTCTGAACAGCCACTTGGACTAAAGTACCTTGAAGAATCCATGTAGGTTGATTCTTATACTCCAACGTAAGGCGCATTAAGTAACGTCGCCATCATCTTTAGGCGTCCCATAGTCACCTAGCATTTGCCTTCATAGACAGTACAGCTTTGAATGGGAGCGCGATTCAAGATTTGACAGCTCTAACCAGACCGCGTAAAGGATTTGCTTCCAAATGGGCAATAAATGTCTTTCTTTGAGAAGACTAAGTCCAGTGTAGAGCAGCTCACCTCGTAGTGAATAGCGGAGACTGGACATTATATGCCAGTTAACATTCATAGTTCCTCATACAAAAAAACTGTTGTAGGTTAAATACACATGGTTGTCGTATGCATCTCGATCTTTGATCCACTCTATTATATTTTGGTAATTCCAGCAAAAATGAACAAGATTAAACTAATTCAAATCTGATGGATTTCTTGGCGGTATGTTGGCAGCAGATCCTATTTTTGACACAGAAAACTTTTTGAGTAATATCCGCTACTAGCCTGGCATAAGTAAAGGTAAGCAAAGCAATTCCGCTCAGAAAAATTCATCTTGCAAAATGTTTCCAAAATTTCACAGGATCAATATCTTTCGTCATTTTTTTATTTCAGTGCGTTTGCTTGCTTGAGACTGGAGAGCCAGAAAGAGCTTGGATATCATATTACGCAAGTGAGTGTGGCTGGGGAAATTGTTGAAAAAGCGGAGATTTTGTCGGAACTTTCTAAGTTCTAGAATGTTCTGCCTTCAACAAGTGCTCTTGCAAGCGTAAAGTGTACGGTAAACTTTACCTGGTACCTCAAAAACAGTTCAAGCCAAATCTCATGTGCATAGGCTTCTTATTAGGTCTTATTATACTGGTCAAGCTCTAGCTAATTTGCTGCCAAAGCGGCAGCTTACATGGCTTAATCGTAGCCAGGAATTTAAATCTGAGCTCCAGCCTAGACCGCACATTGTACCGTATTCGAGGAGCTCCGTCGCACCAATCAGCGTCCTCGAGTACGGTACAATGTACGGTCTAGGTTGGAGTTTGACCTTAGCATATGAGCTACAGCTTGAGCAATGTAGATTTGCCTTCCAGTTAATGTCCACATAAGAAGTTCTAGTTTTTAGTGGCGGTCCAAGCAATTTTTTTTTCGGGGGAGAAGGGACTGGGGACAGAGCATTGGTTTGCTTGTTAGATGAGAACAAGTCATTTGCACCTTTACAACCAGGACTCGACACTAGCTGGCACCAGGAAATTCTCAAAATAAAGCCCCCTTTGATCTTAAAAATACGAAGTCCCCTTCGACCCGTTTTGTATTTGCTTAAGGCGCGCTTTGTGAATGGAGCAGATTTTTCGACTGCGGAGCAGACCGAGAAACTTTTAGATGGCTATGAAACGCCTAGAAGAAAACACTATAAAATCGTTTTTTCTTTGTATGTAAACTCTTACAGCTTAGATACAAACTATGTAAAAAGTATGAGAACTTATGTGAGCAAAGGGTCGGTGCCAGCTCAGCACTCAGCTGGCACGGTGCCAGCCAGCTCAGAAAGTTCAACAGCTGCAGCACAAAGCTTTCATTCACATAAGTTTTCATAAATTTTTGAGCCATAGTTCGGGTCCCTCAACGCGCATGCACACACCAAATTTGGGGTCATATGATTGTGTTTTGTTTGTAAACTAGGCTTTTGTTTGATTGGGACAGAATTCAAATTTCTGCGCTGTGTTAGCGCCGGCATGTCGGCGGCATACCGACGACATGCCGTTGGCGTGCGAGTGGCATACTGGCGGCACGCTAATGAAAGAGGGGTATAAAGAGTAAGCATGCCGCAGACATGCGGCGGCTTCCCGGCCGCGTGCCGGTGGCGTGCTCCTGACGTTTTGGCAAGCAGCGGCATCTAACCCGCAAAACGACATCCTTTTGATTTCCGCCCCAAAAACGATATCCAGATGGACCCGGTGCCAGCTTTGTAGAGCTCTGTTTACAACTCATGAAGGCAACTCCCAAAAAATTTCGCGGTCCATTCTCGGTTCTACTCTTTTGATCATTTTTTCGATGAATGCATTATGAAATTACTAGCTGGTTTACTCGACTCCGCCCAGGCCTGTCAAAACACTGTAATGAAGGTTCCATCCCTATCCCTGTACAGCATTTCCCTGTGCCCACTTCTACACTTCATTTCCCGTTCTCTGTGTTGTTTTCAAAATCGGCATGTCCACTCACCCCCCTGTGCCAACTCCCAGCCCTTCAGCTCAAATTTCGCAGAAACCGATAAAATCGATAAAAGTAATGGATTACTTTGGAAACTAATATTGTATTCGGAATCGCCATGCTCGCTTACCCCCCTGTGCCAAATCCCAGCCCCGTAGGTGGACTCTGCAAAAAAAATCGATACAAATCGATATGGATCAATGACGAAAAGTAGCCTATAACATCAACCCCGCCCCGAAGTGTATGTGTGCCAAGTTTGGTTCGGATCGGTTCAGAAATGAAAATTTCTGTTCGGAACATACGTACATACTATAGTTGTACCGAACAGAAATTTTTGCCGAATGAACGAATATCGAATAATCAATTTTTTGAAATTTTTCGAACGAATGAATATCGATTAATTGATTTCCGAAAAATTTTCGAACGAATGCATATCGAATATTTGATTTTCGAATCTTCGAATGAACGAATATTATCCGACTTTCGTTTTCATTTTATTCGAATTTGAATATTCGAATATTGGCACATTCCAAGATTCGAATGAACGAATACTTGAATAACCGAACTTGATCGAATATTCGACTATTTTCGAATAAATGTTCGAATATTATTCGAATACTTGAATGCAATATTCGAATATTCGAATATTCGAATAACTATCTTTTAAAAATACTCGAATAAACGAATATTCGAATAACCTCTTTTTAAAACTCCTCGAATTAACGAAAATTCGAATAAGTCATTTTTCGAAATCGTCGAATGAACGAATTATTCGAATATAGGTCTTTTTCATTTATGCGACTATTCGAATAATCGAATAAATGGACTTTCTCAAATATTCGACTGTTCGAATATTCGAATAGTCGAATATTTCGAATTATTCGAACACGAATATTCGGTGCTAACTATAGTACATACAGACAGACATACAGACAGACAGACAAACAGGCATTCAACTTCATATATAAGATATGACAGCGGAGCTCATAGAAAAAACTTAGCAAGCTCTAATAACGAGAAAATGCTTGCTGTCAACGAACAATAAAGTTCTATGGTCAGATATTGCCTGATGATGTCACCTCTTTACTACTATCTATCCTATCTAACGGAGCAATAGTTTAAGGGGATGTAGACAGACATTAGCGGTAATGGCCGAACCACATTTTGCTATAACCTTCATCTGGCCAAGAACTGCGTAATACGTACAAATCACCTCGCTGGCGCCTCCAGAGCCTCATTCCGCTCCAACAAAAGAGGCCATGGTGAAAATACGCGAAAAAC